TTTTTGTTTTAGATATTTATCTACAATACGAAAACATTCTTATAGTCAAATATTCCTTAGCACTATCACTATGGGAAACAATTATTCGCATAACCATAATGCTTAATCTACTCAATCTCTCCCAAGCTTTATGGAGTATCTTTTCTTCCTCACTGTCTTTATTAGTAACAACAGTAAGCTTCTCAATTTAAAATGCTAAATCAAGATTTACCACACCTAAATTTTAAACTTAACTTACTCATTCTATTATAAGAAATTAGTCATATTGAGAATCAGAACAAACGTAGCATGCGAATTAAAAGATGTAATAAAACAAACATAACAAGATAAAATACTTACAACAATAATGCTTTGCGTTAACAACACGTATGTATAACTTAAAAATATAAATACAATGTATAACTATAATACCCTTTGGATGACAACTAGAAAATACTAATAATGATGCTTACATGTATTTATTTATATACCTTCATTGATGATGCATTATTTAATTAAAAAATAAGTTACCTTTGGATATCTTATATCTATCTAATTAAAAAAATACATACAACCCCTTAATTTTTATTTAATCATTTGAAAATCAATTCCCTTTGGAGAATTATTTCTCATAATAAAATAAACTCAATATTCATGAATATCACAAAAAATCATAAGCATCATAATTCATGAAATATTGCAATTATGTTTACCACTAGAATTAATATTCATCAACCATTATGGTGAGGCCACTTTGGTAGCTACCAAACTTTACATAATATGAATATTAAATTAGCTAGTAACTAATTTATCATTAATTATGTCTACTACAAAATTAATATTCATCAATCATTATGATTGGGCCACTTTGGTAACTACCAACCATCACATAATATGAATATTAAATTAGACAGTGATTAATTCATCATTTAGTTACCCATTTAATATAATACACACATATTCATACTGATCAATCCAAAATAAACAGGTTCGATCTAAGAAACTTAATAGTCCAAAAATTTAATAAAAATATTATTTTACTTTATATACATAATAAAACATATTATTTTTATTTTCAGACTTAAAGATCATAATTGAATCAATTTAAAATTGATTCTCCATCATATATATATGTTTGGGTTCTAAACAATAATTTATTTGCATGTCCAATAAAGTCAAATTTCTAGACTCACACATTATTCTAGAAATTCTAATTTCTAATTATAGAAATCAATCTATAAAACTATTTAATCATGCAAATCACAAACTTAACTTACATAACCATTAACTTGACATATATGATTATTCTATAATTTCATGTCAAGTACTAAATGTGACTCTGTCATTAACTTATATTAGACCATGGACGAAAATCAAGAATTAAACACATATATATAATTCAACTATCAGGCAATTCAACGAGGCTAAGAAATCAATTTATGGAAATCAAAATACAGGCTCAGAAATCGATGCATGTAAACCAAAATAAATTCACCGATCCATCATACTAATCCATCATGCACCCACACTGATCATGAATCAATACCTATATTTATGCATCTGTTTTACATATATGGAAACTATCATGTAAACTATGTATCATTATTCAACTTTCAGTAATTCATTTAAGTTTTGAAATCGAGGCACACAATTTTGATTAATTGGTTGATGCCAACAAATTGATCAAAACATATCATGCACAAATAGTTACATGAGAACACTACTGTATATGTATATATAGATGACAAATCTAATAAATTAAATTATTTAATTTTAATTTAAACTTATGCAATATTAATGAAAAATAATGAGTTCATAAGCTGTAAGCTCTGATACCACATGTAAATTATAATTATTCGTGCAAACCATTAATCACATATACAAATCAATCCTAAGATCTTAGAACTTCATTATTTTCACATAGTCTATAATGCATAAATAAATAGTTAGATATAAATATCTCGATCTGTAATTGCAAATATCGTAGATATCAAGGCAAACGCCGAGATCATTTTTGCAGAACAAACAACGTGATAGACTACAAGTCAATGTGGGGAAACTGATTTCTCTCTCTTGACCTTTTGTACACATAAACATTATACGTGTTATTTCATTAGCGTACATAACTGATGGGAATATGCATTTTTATAAAGGCAGAGAGAGGACCAGTTTTCCTTTTGGTAACTTTAATTGCACTTTCCATCAAAGTAAAGAATAAATAGGAAAACACTTCTCCAATAATTAATTACCAAAAAGGTAATTTATATGTTGACCAAATAATATAATATTAATCTTATATCTATTTTATTTAACCAAGAAGTAAATCACGTGTCCAAATCATGTGGGCCACAAATATAAGAAAATATCTTACAAATAAATCATTTTCACCCTCAAAATAAGGTATGCACATAATGCAAACTAAGTAATTGCACATAATGCAGACTAAGCAATGTTACATGTAAACGTAACTCAATTCAAATATCATTTATGTTATTATTTGAAATTAAAGTATTTTAAAAACACTTTAACCATATTAATTTAAAGAATTTAAACCAAAATTAAAGTTACTTAGATTAACTTTAGACAACAAACAAAACACTTGATGTTTCCAAAAATAATGAAAAGAGTAACAACTTTTTTTTTTCTTCCAAATATTAAAAAAAACATGCGCTAAATTATTTAACATATCTTTGAAAAAAATTTAGCAAAGTTTAATATTAATTGCCACACTCACCACCTTCACTATCAAAAAAAGGTATTTACATAATGCTGAAAAACTAATAGTCACACATAAATCTAACTCAATTCAACATGGTGATGTTATATATACTTGTATATATTCAGTACCTTGAGCTCAAAGCGTTCTTGTATATGTATATATATATATATTTACATATTACTTAAATATTTATATATTACCTAAGTGGTGATGTTCCCTTTTACAAATGATGATGTTACTTTTTAGATTCCTATGATATTACTTATAAATGGCGGTAAAATGTTACTTATAAATGGTAGTGTAATTGCCAAACGCGGACTTAGTGTCTATTTTATGAAGAAATACGTGGCCAAACCAAGGCCACTGGACAATGGACAGCAAAAAACTGCTGGAATAATTACATCAGAGGATTTGCGTCCATGATTTCTGGGCGTGAGGAAGTTGTTGTTTGGAGCGCGAGTCCGAATCCGAATTGTTAGTTGGAATCTATGATTCGGAATTGGAGTCAAAAGAAGTGAAGGTGACAAAATTGATAAAGTGGATATCTTCAAAACTAAATTTGACAAGTCTTATATATGATTATTAATCGATGATGTTCTATTCAAGGAATGCCTTATACAAAAGCTAAAAATATATATATTGAAAAAATAAAAAAAAAATTTAAAAATTTAAAAAAAAATATTGAATTCATACCTTCAATCCAAGAGGGTGCTCAATTTATTTGCATTTTTCCATTACGAGCCATGAGTAGTTGACCAAAAATGCATATATGTGTGTGTGTGTGTGTGTGTGTGTGTGTATATATATATATATAGTTAAGTGCAAAACATCCCTTCATAATAATCAACAGGTCAGTGGCCAGTACCAGACCCCTACTTTCCAAGGGAGATTAGGGGTTCGAGTCTCAGTGAAGACGTGTGTGTGAGAACTAGGAAAAAAAAAAAATCCCTTCATAATATGTAAGATGTGCAATATATAATATAAGGATTACAAATCAATGTCCCAATATTTAAAACAAAATTAGAATGTGGGTATCTAGTTACCTTTTAGGCTTTTACCAAATTCAACCATTGTCCTTCTAATACATTCAAGAATATCTATATATAAATCTATAATTGCTAAAAAAAAAAAAAAAAATTATAGACATACGCCACTAACTACACGTTAATCTCACCTATCAATTATAATTTTTTTTTAACTGCATTTTATCCTACTTATTAATGATTTTTGAGAAAAACGTGCTTGAAAAGTTAAAGGTAAACCGACTTGGAAAAAAAAAAAAAAAAAAAAATGTTAATGATAAAAATAGACATTAATAAAATAAACAATTTTTTTAAATAAATAAAAAAAATATATATATGTTGCTTGAGTTTGTGTTCAGCCAAAAAGTAACTAGATCAAAATTTTAATTTTATAAAAATCTGAAGTTCATCTGATAACAATTTGCATCAAAGCAAATCCATTTATTTAATAATATTATTATTATATATATATGTGTGTGTATAATTAAGGGAGGCTCATTCATTTACAATAAAAGATAGTGCATCTATCATTTGAAGAGGAGATAATATAGGCACAAAAAAAAATAATAAATTAAATAAAATAAAAAAATAAATTAAATTAAGAAAAAAAATAGAAATAGAGATAATATCGGCGGCAAAAAAAATTAAAAATAGAGATAATATCGGCGGCCACAAAAAATATTTTAGAGAGAGAATATATTTTTAAAGAGATAGACTTTTTAAAGAGATAACTATGACAACAGATAGAGAGTTTTCCTTAGACAAGTCTTGAAACACACCCAAATATTTTTAGAGAGAATATATTTTTAGAAAGATAGACTTTGACAACATATAAAGAGTTTTCATTGGACAGGTCTTGAAACACATCCAAACAAAACCATTTAGTGTTCAAATATATACAGAATTAGTAGGGACATTCTTGTCAAACAAAAATGGCACTTTTGAAAAAAAAAATTAAAAAAATAGCATCACTAAACCGCCTTTTTTTCAACGAACCCATTCAAATAAGGGACAAATTGCTCAAAAGACTAATAACACGAGTTATATTCAATTTTTTTTTTTTTTTTTTTTTCTTCTTCTAATAAGGGTGTTTCTTGCATATTTTTTATTTAGTAAGGGAATTTTCTGTACCAAACCCTCTATATATAGCTATCATATCTAAGGAACCGTGTATAACGTGATTGAATTTCTTGCTCATTAGCAAACAAGAAATCATTTTCGATATATATAAGGTATAAAATTAAAATTGTACAGGAAAAGAAAGACATCCAAACATGATAAGATACAAACAAATAATTAGCCTATTATTCATGCTGGATGACACCTAATATGATAATTGTTATGCAAATTTACATTGGGACGTTCCACATTTAAGTTTTATGGAACGAGAATTATTACTTTCAAAATGGATACAGAACTGATGCTAATTGCTAATAATGAAATAAAGACAACCTCGTTGTTTGTGGATACAAGTAATAAAAAATTGGAGAAAACATTCCTAAAGTTCTGGAAACCCAGCCGACTTTTCAAGAAACTTTGACTCTTTCAGGAAACTTTGTCACTGCATTTTTAAAATATTACATACTTGAAAGTGATCATGATTGTCAGGATCCAACTCTTAAAAACGTTTGTACTACTGGCCCAATTCTTGCAATCCTCATCATGGTCAAGAGCGTCACATTCCAATTTTCCAAATAATTAAGAAGGCATTTTGTAGGGCTAAAATCTTTTTTGCAATATGATTTCCAGCACGATACATACCAGTCCACCGACAGCAAATACCATGGTGCCCCTAAAACCTGGAAGAACAAAATTGAATCATCAGTTCCAACACAATTACGTAACTCTCGAGAGCGGAGAAAAAATAGGGAGAAAAGGAATATTAAAGTGATAAAAATGAGCACAAATGGCATAACATTGGTATAAGTTTTAAACTAAATTGGTTAAAAGCATAAAGTGACAAATAAATAACATAAATTGATTTAATTTAAAGTTACATGGTAAGCAAACATGTACAATATCAGATTATATGCATTCCTTGCTAAAAACTGGTTTTGTGACGACACCAGTTGCTTTAATAAGTAGTTAACTTAATAGGAAAATCAAATATAGTGCGGGCACAAACTGGAGTAGAACAATCAGTGAAAGGGCATTGTTATTGTGATCAGCTCATAAGCTACTCGTTGCTAGCATAATGAACCAGATAACAATCTGCAGAAAATATATTCAGCTAACAATTCTTTTCTCCTAGATAACTTTATAACTTACTTGAATAAAGGTAAAGAAAATTGTAGAAGTAAAAATAGGCTTATAGGAGCAGAAATAAGTGTGATTGTCATGATGGAGTCTAGAATATATAGAAAACACGAACTTACTAGGATTACTTTAATAATGATGAAATAGAGAAATTTAAATTTCCCCTTATTATTTATTTTTGTTTCTAATGCCGGGTGAGCAACACAAGATCACAGTAATTACTTTCTCATTTCAGGAATTTAAAATACTATAAGAAAAGTAAAAGTACCTGACTTCAAATTCCTCATTGGACGATTCCTCATCGGATGATTCCTCCTCAGACGATTCTTCAACTTCAATCCTTTCTTTCGGGACGATCTCATATCGTGGAATATTCAATCGATCATACCTGACTTCTGTTTCAAAACCTCTATCGCCTATGGGAAAACTCTGTCCCACGGTCAGATGCGAAGCTATATACGCAACTCTATTAGCTACCGTGTTTCCTTGAGAATATTGAAACAATATATCATGTTTATCAAATTCTAACAAACCAAAAATTTTGCTGCATCACAATAGTTTTATATCAATATAATTGGAAACTTGAATATAAATTTTAAGAATAAACTCGAACTTTATACAAAAAACTTACTGATAAAGTCCAAGACATTCAATTGGTCTATCCTTCTCACGATTTAGCACCTTGACAATTTTTTTATGGTTAATCTCCAATAATATATACTTTGCTTCCGATCTCCTTTTAAGAATTTCATCTATCCCATGAAGCACTCCAAGTAAGAATACTTCATCTCTAGATGTTGCATCTGGAAATGGCTTATAGAAAATTTCCAAAATCCTTCCCCTACAATCTCTTAATACTTCTCCACAAAAAGCTTCCTTGGTCCCACCAAGATTTTTCTTAAAAAACACAGAAACATTTAACTTGTATTGTCCATCGACTGGTGCTCTCCAAGAACAGAGTACTGAGTATTTTAATAGTGTCATTGGAGAACTCTCCAAAACATAAATTTGCTGATTAAACAGGTAATTATAAATCCTTTTTTTGTACTTTTTAGGAATCCATAGAATTAACGACATGAAGTCATCTATTGAGATATATCTCGTCTTGGAAACCCCAGCCACATGCCAATCAGTGTTGCCCTTTTTGAACAACCCATAATTTTCTAATATAATGTTGTGCTTCTGTTCGAAAAAAAGTTGTTGGGGTCCACAAAAAACCTGTTGTTTAATGATCAAACAATATATTTGTTAAAAAAATAATCTGAATTAGATAAAAAAAAAAAAAAAAAATTAAAGTTACGTATATATTGAACTTACGACTAAATTGGGGATGCAATTGTGGATGCTTTTAAAATTTCCTTCGTTGATATAAGATACAGAACTTGCAATAAAATTGTCAATGTTTGGAAAATTTCCTTCCTTGATGTAAATGGCACGCACCATACGATTAAGGATTCCTAAGGAGGCAAAATATAAAAACAGCATTAAAGGCAAAAATATAGTAACAAATAACAACGAAAAGATAAACATTTTAATCACATGAAGCCAAAATCTTTCTTGATTGTTTTTAAGAATCAGGTACAAAAATAGAAATGACAATCCTGGAAGTAAATTCACAAATTAGAGTACGTACGATGCTTTGGGAAATACTCCCGCTTGAAATTGAAGTTTGAAAGATACGGTTTTCACTATTAACCCAAATGAAACGATTTTATATGTTTAGCCCTTTAATTCATTTATTTATTTATCTATTTTATGTTTCCTGATAACCCAATTATTTTTTATTTACATTTCAATTTTAATTCTATATTTTTCTCAAGCACTATTTCTCAAACAGCTGCATTATTAGCAACCGGTGGTCTGAACCAAAAAAAAAAGTTAAGACTACATTACTTCAACTGATGTTGAACAAAGTACACTTGTTAAATTTCCCCCCTCATCTTCAAAGGGTTCACATCAAATCTACCATGCCAGAAATAATTAAGAAAATAAATAGGAGTGAGGTAAATAAAAAAATTGCTAAGCATATTATTTCGAATGATATTCAATTCAATGTGGTTTAGACTCGATCTTTTATTGATTTCGTGAAGAGTGTATTTGTAGTTGAGTCCTAGAACTTACGTTGTATGCCTCAATCATACAAATTACCAACTTACTCAACTTTATGCACGAAGCTAATACCAGATTCTACGATGGAAGTTGAGGCATACGGTGTAAATTTGCATAAAATGGGATTTATTTTATTAATTGTAACATTTTCTTTTATTGTCTTTACAAGTATATGATATAGAAGAAAATAACTAAGATGTGTATAGCTTAATTTTTTGTCCCGAATTTTCAGCTCATACGTGTTATACATGTATGTATCCGTATTCGTATTTTTCTTTTCCGTTTATTTGGCCGAATTTTGCAATGTATCAAAAAAAAATCGAATTATACTCATACGTTCCCGAATCCTTCTTCTCCTCTTTTTCCTTAGCGTAATTTACTAACTATGATAATAATAAAATTCCCTAGAAGAGGGAAGTTATAGCTAAACACAATGCAAAAATTCAGAATGAATTAGATATTCGAAACATTTCATGCTGTGAACAATATGCTCTCATTACGGGCTTTTGTCTTCATTTTTTAAAACTAGCAATGACAAGCATGGAATTGATGTTCTGGAACGATAGAAATAAAAGACTGCAATTTGACCTTCGCAACTGGGCAATAGTACTCCAAGTCCAAGGCATGGATTAGAAGTAATGAAACAAAATTCTGTTGATAGACGATGTAATGTTACTTATAAAGACTGAGCATCAGCATTTCAAGATATCTTCAGCAATAGAGAGTTGCATTATATTCTTTGTGCGATAGAGAGGTCAAGGATAAGCGTCGACCTGTCTTTAGCGTGATCTTATGTTTGTGACAAGTCGGTATGAAGAGGAGAAGCTTTTTGGAGGTAGTAAGACTACCTCGCATTCTCACTTTCGGGCTATTGTCGTCAAACGGAGGGCACATATTCAAAGTGGATGTGGGAGTGCCGAGAGAAGGAAAGAGACTTAATAAATGTGCCTTTTTGGTTTTTTCTACAAAGAAATCGCAAGCCTCGAGAAGACAGAAGAGTGGACTATGAAGTCTTGAATGGTGATGACTGGGGTGTGTGACTTCATTGCCGGGGACCCAATACTTCTATTCAAGCTACATTCTCGCAATGAGGCAAATAAGGTTTTAAAAAAGGGAAAACCATAATGGGGAGATGCTTTTTTAAATACAGAGTGGGATTCTCTGGAATTATGAGGAAGAGCAAGGAATGGCGAATTCTATTGTATGGTGTGCAGCTCCATCTATGGTGCCATCCACAATTCGTTGCAATTGGGGATCTATGTGGTGATTTTAAGGGCGTAAAAGCAAATGAAATGGTAAACATGAAAAGAATAAAGTTTTAGGCCTGGACAGAGAGGAGATACCCGCTTTTGTGATGGCGGGGGACGGGAAGGTGTTTTATCAGGTGGCTGTGTTGGAAGAACCATGTCAGAATTGACTTTGACAGTAGCATCGCTCAGAGATCAACATGAGAAGTTGTTAACTCAAGAGAAGGATTGGTGGTGAGAGAAGGACGAAGCCAAGTGTGCATCGGAAGTATGCCGGAAAGTGAAATATGAGAAGTAGAGGTAAAAGGGACAAGAGAGGTTGGGGACAAGGGTCTTTGCAAGCGCCTGAAGCACGTAAAAAGAAGAGGCGAACAAAAGGAGAGGGTCTTCTTAACAACCAAAAAGGGGTGGGAGGCAGCTCGGTTGCAACATGGCATATAGGGGATGGCAATGGGAGAGAAGTCACACGACATGTGCCGCAAACCTATGGGCCTGCTATTAATGATCCAATCATAAATGCAAGCATTCGGTCTAGGTTTTAAAATTTTGAAAACATAGACCACCACCTCAAACAAGAATGAACCTGCTATTACTGATCCAACCCGAAATAAAAATACTAGGTAGGAGTGACAATAACTGATACGACATGAAATAAGCGTGTTTACATTTGACTAATCGTGCTTGGATTGCAATAGTGTCATCCCATACCATAGTTGTTAAGGGCACACCTAGGCTCTAAAAAAGCCCCAAGCTTGTCGAGGCTCATCTAGAGAGCCTTGACCTAGTAAAGGCCAAGCCCCTTCAGTCAGGCTCACTGGCATGCACTTTTTAGTATGTCCCAAGCCAAAAAAAAAAGTGTCTTTTAATTTTTAGGTAAATTCCACTTACCTCTCTTGATTCCCCCTACCGTTGGGACACCTGACAGAGATGAACAGAATATTTTAAGGTAAGTGAAATTTGTTCTCTATTTTTCAATAATTTATTCATATCATTGTTCTTTTATCAAATGACTACTAAATTAGAATGTCACTATAGGCAATTTCACCCCACTAGGGGCGATTTCAAGGCAAATGTGATTTTGTTTTTCAGTTTCAGTTTGCGATGAAATCTTCTTTAGAAATTGCAAGGATTCCAAGAATTTCACTGAGAAGGGATGTGAAGTCAGCAGTTCCACATCGAGGGCCGTCTTTGTACATCGACGAGGAGCCCGTCGGAGGGAGGAAATCAATTCTCTCACCTTGCTTGGTCGGTCGTTTTGACAAGGAAGTTGGGGGATGTGATCGGGTGGAGGAAGGAGCAGCGTGAGCATGGAATACGTCCTGTGGAGTGGGGATTACTCCCTTATCCGATTCGTTGCTCCTATTCAGGTTTCCTTCTCAGGCAGAAGCTCAACGTGTGTTGAAGGAAGGCCGGCGTCAATGGGGATCTGCAACCTTGCGGATCGATGTGTGGTCTTTTAGGGTTGGTTGTTGCGGCGTCCTTAGAGACAAAGGTCTCAAACAGATCCGGATGTTTGGACTGCCCCTTCACCTATGGTGTCATGCTTTATTTGTTGAAGTAAGGGAGTTGTGCGGCGGATTTATGGGAGTTGTTGCTGATGAAACAAGGGACGCCGAAAGCGTTCGGATTACAGTGAGAATAGGATCGACCTGTCCACAATTCGTGTTTATTAATGATGACACCTTCTGTTACAAGGTGGCGATCTGGGAAGAAGTCGCGCCGGAGTTGGTTCCCTCGACAAAGAGTCTTGAAGGCAGTGATGGGTCTCATCTTATGACTGAGGAAGGATGGAATTCGCTTCTTAACAAAGGGAAGGAAGGGGTGCAACAGATCCAACAATGGCTGAAAGATAGAGAACTTCAAAGGGCGGTGAAATTTGTGCGAGGAATCAAGTAGCCGAGACGCGCCGGTTACGCGCGTTGCAGCTGACAAGAATAAAATTACACGTGGCGCTCGTAGAGGCTCACTTCCAGATTCATCCCTATCCTTATCTACAAGGGTTGGTGAAGAGCTTGGGCTGGGCCGCACAAATTGGCCTAAGGTTGATTTGGGTCGGAGGGGTTCAGGGCAAGCTAAAGTGTTAAGTTTTGGGTCTGGGAGGAATGGGCTCAAGTTCAAGCCTGACTTTGGGCCTAAGACAGCCCACACTAAAAGACGGGTATTTAGAGGACCCAACTCCCTTTCTGTTTCCTTTCTTAACGAACCAGATCCATCTAAAAGACAAGCCCAGGTTCAAGCTCAAATCCAAAACCAAACTCTCTCCTCTTCTTCATTTTAGCGTCGGACTGAGAAAGAAAAGTGGAGACGGCCAGTTGCTTCAGCTAGTCACCAAGGCACTCGATGGACTCGTACTGAAAAACATAAATGGGTAGCATGCTCTCCTTCTCCTTCTCCTTCTCCTTCGCCAGGTTTGACCTCTGTTTCTCATTCTAAGAGCTCATTTTCTACCCCTTCTTGTGAGGTGATGGGAAATGGTGGCGATGGTGTGGAGGATCGTTTGGATCATAAGAGGGGTTTTTCTGAGGCCATTGTTCCACGGGCTGAAGAGTCATTGTCTTCAATGATCACGTCCGGAAGTGTTGGTTGTTCCAATAAGGTCACAGTATGTGTAGGACGGGACCTTCATTTCAAGCTGACAGATGATTAGCCATGACTTTACTTAACGAACTTAAGCTCTTTGTTGCTCTAAAAGGCTTAAATGGTCTACCCTCTGTGACTAGGACGAATTACACCCATGATTTGATGACAAATTTTACGGATGACCATGGAACATAGCTGAATCTGCAATTAAACTTGTATCAGAACAGTGTTGAAAGCAAAGGGGAGGAGTTTGAAGATCAATTTTCTTCTCAACAAATCTGTCCTCTTGCCTGGGATATTGATCAATCTGACGTGGACATTATGGAACCCTTAGCAACTGTGCACCCTAATTGTCTAGAGACGACAAACGATTTGGGTATGGACTAGGTGTTTGATAATATTGGCAAGGTCAGTGAAGCTTTGGGTGTCTCCTCAGAAGGTGATGATGACCGAACACAATCCATTCTTCAAGCTATTGTGGCAGGAAATAACAATACAGGGACCTTTAAAAGCACAAAAGT